GCTGGACAGGAAATGAGGAGGGCAGGCGCCCCCCGTCCCCCTGACCCGGGCCCCTCGGGAGGGAGGCGGGGCTGGTGCCGGCCTGGCCCCTCCCTTCCTCTTCGCCTGTCTGGAACCCCAGCGGCTCCCCACTTCCCGCCCACCTGCAGCCGGAGTGGTGGCAGGGGAATCCTGTACTGGGGGGCGGCCTCAGAGAGGGAGGCATAATGGGGGTTCCACAGGCAGCGGGAGGGGGCGTCCCCCTCAAGACAAATACACGACACAGGAAACGAGTGCACAGCCACACACCACAGGTCCCAATCCACCCACGCGCGGAGGCACACGCGCGCGCGCACACAAGTGCACACAACCTGACGCCGCGTCACGCGGCCCCACACTGTCGCCACGGACACACACACTGCCGCAGAGTCCCGGGCCAGACCGTTGGCTGGATGCCTGCCCACACCCCGGGCGCAGTGATGCTAAGGGCGCTCGCACAGGAACACGAACACACACACTCGCCGTAGTTGCACAGCAAAAAACTAAAACAAAAAAACCCACCCACGGCAAATAGTCATGTGAGAGAGAAGCTCTAATTTGCCCCCGTCTGCTAACGCAGCCCGCAGGTGCCCTGGCACAGGCCTCCACCGGACCCAGGCACTCCTGCCTTGGTGTCCTTGTCTCAGCGTCTGCCCCAACTCCTCTGCATGCCCCTGGGGTCAGAGGGCCCAGGAGGGGGAAGGGGGCGCCCACTGTCTGCACCCTTAGTTCCTGCAGAGGGACAATTAAAGGTGGTCGAGCCTCATTTACAGCCGGCAACACTGAGAGGCCTCACCAGCGAGGTGACCCAGTCGACAGGCCCCGCACCGACTTTAACAGAGGGTGACTGTGAAGCAGTGCACGATGGCCCCCAGGGCCTGGCCTGTGGACCCCAGGAGCCTGTCTATGTGGGATGTCTGCGTTGTGTGGTGTGTGGCTGTGGGGTCCACAGGCTTGGTGAAACCCCAGGTGCCAGCACAGAGCCCTCAGGAGCTGAGGGAGCGCCCAGGGGAGTGTGAACAGCTGCCCTGGGCTCTCTCCCCGCTGCGGGAAGCTGTGGGTGGCTGTGCCCATGTGAGCCTCGCTCTTCTGTGACCGCCACTGCCGGGCTTTGTGCCCCCCCTCTGTGTAACGGCATGTTCCCGGGTGAGGGGGAGCCGAGTGGGGGGCCCTGCGGGATGACACACTCAGTGTGACTGCCCACCGCAGGAGTTGTGCCAGGGTCTGAGATTGTGTTCCCGGGTGTGTAAATTGGGTGGCTGGTCCTATCTGAGGCGTGTGTGTGTGTGTGTGTGTGTGTGTGTGTGTGCGC